TGCCCCATTATTTGTGAATAAGATATTTATGGAATAGTGATTGACGTTGAAATGTATGGTTAAAAAAGAAAGAAATTTTTTATTTGCGTGCAATATTATTTTAATGAAAAATGTGTAATTGAAAATTAGTACTGCAAAAAAAAAATAATGTGATAGAATAAAGCCTAATTAAAAAAATATTCATTAATTGACCAAAAAATGCCATAAATTACCGTTATATTCTAAAAGCTTCTCCAATAGACTCATTATTTTTAAATAGTATATTCTATCATCTGAAGAGCATTTATTAGAGAGTTAAAATTTTAAACTACTAAAATAAATTCTTTATACTTAACACTTAATTGTACTACTCTAAAAAATATATATATTTATTATTTTCTCTATTTTTTATTTTAACTAAATTTTTAAGATTATTTTATTATTTTCATTCAATGAAAATTGAAACACTTTAAATACATTTAACGATAGAGAGTGAGTTTGTCTCTTCGAATTTGGAGAGCCAAAATCACTGTATAAATTAAAATGTTAATCTAAAGAGTCTTTTAGGTGCATAATTTTAAATGTTGACTCCTTAAAATAAAGAGCATATCATGTTTAAATAGTTTATTGGAGATGCACAAATAATATTGAGAACTTATCCCAACATCATCAATAAAATAAGTCAAGTACATCCCATTATGATCATTTATAATAAAATATATGCAAATTACTGAGGGGTGTTTAGTGGGGGATTTTAAGCCAATTAAAATCAATTTTTAGATCGTTATTTTATTATTTCAACCTTTATTTTTGAATTCTTCTCTCACAGGTAAGATCCACTTTTATTTCTAACGATCAAAAAATCAATTTTTAAAATCTCTACCAAACATTCTCTCAGTATAGTTGTTAATAACCTATTTTAATTATATGGATTGAGTGAAGATTAATAATTATGTCAACCCGCATAAAATAATCTAACAATTATCAAAGTGAAAATCGAGTTTTTATAATCTAAATATATACAAAAGATCAATTGATAAATTGTCTCAAGTGTGAGTACACGAGCTCCGACTTTTGTATATAATTAGTAACTAGGGTAGGAGGGAGGCATGAGCCGGGGCCAAGCTCATTTAGTTTTTTAGGTAAATTTTTTTGTTCTTTTTGACTCCCAGACAATAACCAAATCTCTGTTAAAACACGAGAAAATAAGTTTCATATTTTAAAACTAAGTGCATGTTTGGCATTGATTTTTCATCCAAAAAATCAATTTTTTGACACTTATTTCACTATTCAAGTCGTCATTTTTTATTTTTTCTCTCACAGGTAAGATTTACTTTTCTCTCCAACAGTTAAAATATCAATTCTCAAAATCACTATGGAACAACCCCTAAATTTTGTGCAAATAAGATTAAGCTTTGATTAGTGAAAGTTAAAGATAAAAACGAAGAACAAATAGCTGGAGTGGTGTATAAAGGAAATTCAACTTAAACCAATTCCAATGGCTACACCAAATTGGTTTAAAAGTCACAATAAAAATTGGAGTAACCATTGAAGATGGTCTTACAGCAAATTGTACACCAAAGTTTACTTTAAAAATTATTTATTTTTCTTCAAAATCATTTACAACTATATATTTCATGAAAACCACATATTTCACCAACTATTATCAAAATCAACTATTTTATTTTTATTTTTATCGACTTTATTTTTTTTTCCTGATACTCATTTTCAATCTCATATTTTATGCCATCCACAAAGTTTATAAAGTTTCCAACTATACGTTTCATCAAGATTTACTATAAATTTGATTTTTATTGAGAACCAAACATAGGCTAAAGCCTCATTCGGCCTTCATTTTCCTTCTCATTCTTTTTCTCTCTTTTATTTTTAATTACACAATCTTCCATAAAATAATATTATACGCAAATAAAAAACTTTTTATTTTTTTTTCAATCACACATTTTTCAAAAAAACACTATTCCAACGATTAAGATTTGGAAGGAATGGGGGCTAAATCTCAAGTGGCACCGTCCACTACATTCACAAGGTGGAAATGGTGGGCAATGGCTGCCCCACCCGGTATGTTTTCCATAATAGCCTTTGACCAAGTAATTTGTTAAAAAAAAAAAAAAAAAAAAATTATCGTGTTAGAGTAAACTGATGAAAAGACTGACTTCGTTTTCAAATTTCAATTGAGCCTTGTTTGGATTTTTATTTGTAACTTAAGGATATTTTTGTCTTTTTACCATATTTCTATTTTTGTAATTATATAACTCATTTAAGGGCGTTTTAGTCTTTTACACAAGAAATGGCTATTGTGGTGAATGTTAGATTTTTATGGTTAAAATGGAAAATGGTTGGTTTGACAAAGCTATACTTAAAAGTACCCCCATTCACAAGGCACCTCAATTGAAGTCACTTCAATATTTAAGATAAATAATTTACTTTTTCATGGAAATAGATGACAATATAACTTAATTTCTAGAATTACTGGCTGGTCTTGAGCAAGTATTTTAAGTTCACATGTTATGATTTATATACTTTTGCACATAAACTAATCGCACGGCCCATAATTATATTAATCATGTAGGACCCCTTAATGGATGTTTAGTTTATATACGATGTGCACTTTAATAATAAAATACGAAAAATTCTAACGAAAAAAACAAATGATGGGTTCAATTAATTTACAATTTTAAAAAAAGGTTGAACCCCAACCCTAAGGGTCCTCCATCGCCCCTGCCTTGAAGTATCGTGAGTGAGGTAAATCACAGGATATGCCTCCAAGAGTACATGGTGGAAGGCTGCTTGTATACTTGCACTTACTCAAGAGCCAAATCCATATTTCAGGATTCAAACTCTTGACGCGGCAACCTCAAATAAAGTTGGATTTCTCCACCCTCTCCTTTTACCACTTGAAGATGTGCCCTGGGGGCTCAATTAATTTACAATTTTACTCAGATGTTTGGTTAGGAATACTTGCAATTCTTACAAAAAGTTTTTCACGAGAGAGTAAACACATGAACATTTTGGTTACTCACATGGTCTGAAGTAAGTGGCACGATTTGCCTCATGGATCTTCTTATGAATATTAAAAAGAGTTTGGGCAAAAGAAAACATTCATATAAACTAATTATATTAAATCAGAACGTTCTTAAAAAGGTTAAGTTAATATTTGTCGCCATTTATTGAAATTAATCGGAATATTATGCCCATCTTACGCCTTCAATAGAAAGATTAATTCCATCTAAACATAAAAAGCATGTTATTGATGAAATTAAATGAATAGAAGAATCATCACTTTAGCAGTTTAAAGTTTAAACTTGCAAAAAAATAAAAATAAAAATAAATAAATAAATAGTACCTAAATTTTATACAAGGTATAGATCATGAGTGAGTGTCATTTCTATGGTCCTTGCATATATACTCTATCATTAAGAAGATTGTCTAAAATTTTGAATTAAACTACTCAAATTGGAAAATTTGACAGCACTGATAGGGTAAACTGTGATTTGTCTGTTTTTTTTAATAAAAAAATTCATCTTTTAATGAAAGTTTTGTCTGTCACCATTTTCTATAAATTTTTCCTGTTAAGTGGCATGATTGAATTTTTTTGATAATTTTAGTCATGAAATAGAAATATGGCCCCATATCGAAGTCTTTTCAACGAAGTTGTGGTAGAAAAAGACCCCAAAATCTTAGCACGCAATCTCCATCCCTAGTCTTCACACTTCTTCACCTCTTCTCATCTTATTTTTTCCTTCCACAATCGCATTCTCTAATTATAATTACCTTTTCAAATATTTTTAGTCTAAAATATGTTCACTGAGGACCATCACCCTTGTCACTCTCTTCTTAATTCGTTCCATCAATTTTTTTGAGTCCTTATTAACATTTAAAAGTTCAGGTCGAAAGTGTAATGGTAATTGAATCAAGATTGAACCGAAATAATATCAAAATTTCAAACATAAAAATTCTTTTAATCTATAATCAATCACGTGAATAATTAACCTAGATTTATCCTAATCTTTTAACATCCAATTTTAAGCTAGTCGAACTGATTTTTGGGTTGATTTTTTATTTTCTTAGTTGAACTAGTCAAGTCATAATCAAATTTCAAATACTTTCATTTGAAAGCAATGACCCAAAAAGGATTATGAAAAAATCTGCTTTAAAATTTTCAAATGTAAAACTTGATTTGTTATTATTTTCCCATGTATTTGTTAAATACTCGAATTTCCAATGTAATTGGATGATGATGATGATAATAATTTATAATAAGTAAATCAAAGGAGATATTATCTTAATCACTTTTTTTTAGTCAAATTATCTTAACCTATGCAATGCAAAGCCAAAGTGAGGCATCCAAAACCCTTAGATTCTATTGCATAAAGGATAAATTGGCAAATCTTGGAATATTAAAAATAGCTAAGAAGTTGATTCTTCATGTTGTATGTTTGTGTTGAATTTTCAAAATATGTAGAACATTTACATCTAGCGATAGAAAATTTAACGATGTTGTATGGGAATCACAAACTTTTAATCCACACTAGAAAGAGTACAAGAAAGATCTTCAAAATTGGTACGAACTAGGATTTGGAAAACGAAAATCACAAAATTGACACTTTAAGAAACCATAAACATAATTTTCATGATAATAAAATGTAACGTAGAAGTCTAGATATATATCTTAAAAGATAAGCGTGACTCGTAATTTAATGAGTTCACAAGTTTTAAAAATTTTGAAAATATATTAATTGTACTGAAAAACATAAATAATTACAAGATTACGATTTACGAAACACAATGCTTAGTTTCTAAATAAAAGTACAAATATATTAAATATTCCAAAAATTTATTTTTGGGTATAATTCTTGAAATTAACAAAAGAAGAAAAGAGAAAAAAAATTTGTAACTTGGGGTGGATCCCATTGGCGGAGTTGCATGGTGTTGGTGGGCGAGAGTGGATAAAACGTGCTCTCTATTGACCAATCAGATTTCGAAGAAATCCAAATAAAGTAAAAATTTGAGCCATCCTCCTCGCGAAGATCGAAAGAGCCGCATTTGCACACCACAAGCCCACAGAATCTATGAAGCCCATAATTCCCTGTTCTCGATAATTTCGGAATTTACGGTTTTGAGATTTTTTTTTTTTTTTAATTTATCGAATTTTGATTTGGAATTGCTGGCTATGGGCGTTTCGAGCACGTTTGCAGGAGCTAAGATTGAGACTTTGTTGGTCAGCAACACGACATCGTCTTCAATGTCAATGCCCGCCTCGGCTTCTCCGGCCTCGACTGGGCTACTCTGCAAACCGGTTGCGGCTGTGGCTCGTGTCAAGCGATGTCATTTGATTAAGAATAAAAGGAGTAATTCCAGGATCATTAACTGTGAGGTTGCGTCAGATGCTTTTGTTCAGACCATTGGCCAGAAAGTGGATTCCAATAATGTGCCTTCGGCTTCCAGTCTCTCGGCTCTGAAGCAGCTCAAAACCTCTGCTGCTGACAGTAAGGATTTTTTCTAATGCAACGTGTTTTTTGTTGTTTCTAGAGTTTGAATTCACTCCTTCGAAAACAATCCGACAGAATTACCTGAATGCAAGAATTGATCAACAGGATCCAAAATTGTAATTCGAGCCCACCGACTTCACGATGTGTCCTTAAAACGAATTTGCTGCCTTCAATGGTGCTAAAGGCGTCCAGCAATCGTTTTCCAGGATAGAACGAATTTTTCGTCTCCTACGGAAGCAGCACTGCAGTATGTAAGAGTTCCAACGAACTCAACGAAGTGTTTTTTACTTCGAGACAATATCAGAACGAGAGAGAGGAAAATAAGATTCAAAGCACAGAAAGTTTGCAATGAAAATTGTGTAAATTTTCTGGTAGAAAGGCTGGCTATTTATAGACTTGTTCGTGGCCAATAGGATATAGGTCTTCCCCCTTCCAAAGACTATTGGTACCCCTTGGGGCCCAAACCCAATTCCAAACTTCCACCTTATAAACCACACCAAAGTTTCCTAACTTTCCTATGTGGGATAAGTGTTTGGCAAATCAAATTCTTCCATAATCCTTAGTTTATGTGGGTTATTTTAACACTCAATATTTCATTCAATTTTAAATGGTTTTCGATAAATAAATATATCACGTTAATCATCTCGCGGAGTAGAACGTGAATATGCTAGGTCCCGTATTATTTAAAAGGTGGGTCCCACTGAAATTTGGGCTCAAAGTTGACCCATTAAACCATTTTTTCCAACATTTTTTTGGATAATCTGGATTAATTCATTTGCTCTTGATGATTTGTGGTTGCACTTTCATTTTAACCTTTTAAATTCTTTATTGATTCTCAATTTGATTAAAGTGAGTTAATTTCAAGCTTTTAGAGTAAAAGTTGAACTATGCAGTTTTGTGCAGTGCTCTGCGCCTGCGGCACTATGTAGTAACAAACATTCCATTTGAGTTTTTGCCATTGCTTAAGTTGGATTCATGACTTTGTTGACACTATAACCCCCCGTTATTTGGAAATAGTTCTTCTTCATTTTAGCATTTTTCATGAGTATCTCTATGTATTTGATGTTCCTGAAGCTATGTATTTGGTGCGATTTAAGGATATACAAAGGAAAGGAGCAGTATCGTTGTGATCGGGCTCAGTATCCATACTACACCGGTTGAAATGCGGGAGAAACTTGCTATTCCTGAAGCAGAGTGGCCAAGAGCTGTTGGAGAACTATGTGGTCTGAATCATATTGAAGAAGCAGCTGTTCTTAGTACGTGTAACCGAATGGAAATCTACGTTTTAGCCCTTTCTCGCCATCGGGGCATTAAAGAAGTTACTGAATGGATGTCAAAGGTAATAATTTTTATATTACTTTTTCTTTTGTGTTTTATCGAGAACCTTGGAGTTTTCTTATTCGATGGTAAATTAAATCTGTTAACTCAAATTTAGAAATCTATCACGTAGTTCATCTTGCTCAACGATAACACAGCAGACAAGAACAACTCCTTCCTAATAGATTTGGAGTATGCTATGTGAATCATCTTCATGACTTTGCTGGATTTTCTAGAAGATGCAACTACAAGAAGTCGTGTTAGTTTTGGTCTATCCTCTCTTTTGAGACTTGCTCAACCAAGATCATGTCACTCTTATGCAACAGTGTCTTAAGGCCTATGCAAAACATTTCTCAACCACCTAAGTCATTCTTCTCCCAATCAGGCACCACTCCATTGTTCGCATTTTCTCATTAACATGGCAAATGGTGAAATGATCAAGATTTTAATAGCTTCCCTGCATGTTAAATAAGATGCTATTTCTTCCCTTTTGGCTTCTTCACATCTCCATATATGCTATCTCCTTTCTTTTTTGCAGCAGCAAAACTAGATTTTGGAAGGATTTGGAATAAAGATTCTCTAGCCTGTATTCTTATCCTATGTGTTGCATATGTATTAATCATCATATTCATTTTTACGAAGATACAGTATGAATTTTGTGTTCTCATAATTGAATTTTTATGGTTTGCCAGATTAGTGGAATTCCTGTTTCAGAGATTCGTCAGCACAGGTTCTTGCTGTATGACAATGATGCATCACAACACCTGTTTGAAGTATCAGCTGGACTAGATTCCTTAGTATTGGGAGAAGGCCAAATCCTTGCTCAAGTGAAACAAGTTGTCAAAGTTGGACAAGGGCTTGTGGGATTTGGGAGGAACATAAGCGGCCTCTTTAAGCACGCTATCACGGTTGGAAAGAGGGTTAGAACTGAAACGAACATTTCAGCAGGGGCAGTTTCCGTAAGTTCAGCTGCTGTAGAATTGGCTTTGATGAAGCTTCCCGAATCCTCCCATGCCACTGCGAGGATGTTAGTGATTGGTGCAGGAAAGATGGGAAAGCTTGTGATCAAACACTTGGTGGCCAAAGGTTGCACTAAA